GACTCCCCATATTGGTCCCACAAGGATTTGCCATGCATTATGAAAAGCTATAGGTATTAAATTGCTCAACATTCCCTCTCCAATTTATCAATCCAGACAATATTCAAGATATCGGAATAGATAAAAATACTAGCATAACATAAGCATAAACACTCACGCCTGTCACCCAGAGGGGTAGGCAGAGACCACAGACTTCCATTTGACACGATCCTGACATACCTCTTTCGCCTCCTTTACATCCATATATCCACGCATACATGCTCGTCGGTTAAGGGTACTTTTAACGTGGCTCATTTTCAAAATACTGCCAATTTGATCAATAAACTTTTTTCTAGGGCGTCCCTTCCTGACTCTGCCTTTTACATCTGCCATATAAATTTGCTTTGTCACTCTTTCCTCATTCATTCTTTCTACATGACCAAACCACCGAAGCATTCCTTTCTTAATCCTGGTCACAACATCATCTTGCATACCACATTTATTTCTTATCACGCAATTTCTCACCCTGTCATTCAGATTCAACCCTAGCATACTCCTTAAAGACCGCATTTCTACAGCATTTATTCTACTTTCGTGCTTCTTCTGCCACACCCAGCTTTCACTACCATACATTAAAGTAGGGACTAACACAGCATTATGAATTACCATACATGCCTTTTTTGATACATTCTGGTTCTTCACAATAGAGTGTAGTGCCCCATTCACTCTATTCCCTGCATTTACTCGTCGTTCTATATCTCTATCATATCTACCATCCCTGCTAAAATCCCAAATACACAAACTCATCCACTTGCTCAATTAACTCTCCTTCTATTCTTATTTCACATACCGTTTTGCTTTCCTCTCTTTCAAAAACCATCACTTTCGTCTTACTTGCGTTCACTTTCATTCCCCTTTCTTTTAATGCCCAGTTCATTAATGTAACCATCATTTGCAACTCAGCCGCCGATGACGCAAATATGACTTGATCATCGGCATACAAAAGGCATTTGACGGTTAACTCGCCCATTCTTAACCCACATTCTTCATCTTTCAAAGTTTGCAAACACCTGTCCATAAATAGGTTGAACAGCCAAGGGGAAGCCACACAGCCCTGTCTGACACCCTTTCGGATGCCAAACCAGTCCGAGTAGACCCCATTGATCCTGACACAAGCACTAGAAATCCTATAGAGACCTCAATGCCTGTATAAAACCAGCGCTCAACCCATATGAGTTCAGTGTTTGCCATAACACATTCCTGTCCACTCTGTCATAAGCCTTTTCCAAGTCCATGAACGCACAAAAAACTTTCTGGTTTTTAGCCAAAAACTTCTCCGCAATCATGCACATGGAAAAGACTTGATCTGTACACCCCATTCCCTTTCTAAAACCCGCTTGCACATCCCAAATTTTTCCATCAGTTTCTTTCATAACTCTTTCAATTAACACCTTAGCATACAGTTTACCCACAATACTAAGCAAGCTGATATCACGGTAGTTTTTGCAGTCCTGCTGTGACCCTTTTCCTTTATATATTGGTACTATAACTGCTTTACACCAGTCATCCGGTACCCGTTTTAATTCCCAACATAAATTAAACAAGGTGTACAGCAGGCCTGCCACCACTTCCTCTCCAGCCCTTAGCATCTCGAGTGATACTCTATCATATCCAGCTGCCTTACCTGCTTTCATGCTTTTCATTGCTTTCATTATTTCATCTACACTTATCTCCATAACCCCTTCCACTTCTTTCGGAATTTCTTGTTCATTTAATTCAGACGACTCTTCACTCATAAACACGCTTTCAAAGTATTCCTTCCATCTGTTTAAATTCGAAACTTCATCATTCAGAATACATCCATTCTCGTCTCTTACAGCGTTAATTATAGGCTGTTTTGTATTTCCCCCTGGCAGTTCTTACGAGTTTCCAGAACATTTTTATATTAGCCTGGAAATTATCAGATATCCTTCTATCATTCTTATCCATTCTTTCTTTCTTTTTCCTTTCAACTACTTCTTTTACTCTCTTATTTAGACGTCTAAATTCTGCCTTTTTTCTTTCAATCTCATCATTCATACCACCAGAATTACCAGCTTTAGTTGCTAGTAAATCTAACCATGCTTTCTTCTTTGATTCCACTTCCACCCGCACCTCATCATCCCACCACAACGTAACCACAAAAATAAAAATACTATTGAAGCAAATAACAAATTAAATATGCTCCATGATTGGTTAACTGGCTGGCTGATGCTTCAAAGTTAAGTGACGATGAATTAGTAGGGTCTGCAGTGTGGATAACTAAATACAGGATTATTTTAAATTTCAACTCTCCCCCTGAGTCATCTGTATTCACAGGTGAGGCTTTGGCTATTTTAGAGGCAGTTTCATATCCTAATCACAAGGTCTGAAAAGGACCCTCATTTACTCAGACTCCCTTAGTTGCCTTCAAAGTATTGTATACAGTCCTTTTCACTCTAAGATTAGATACCCCCTAAAGTAACCTAAAGTCTCTGTACTACTGTCATAAAAAAGGGCTGAACATTGTATTGGCTTGGATCCCTAGCCACTGCAGGATTCAGGGCAATGAAATTGCAGATAATTTAGCTAAAGATGCCACAAAATCTGGCTCTATTCCTAGACAATGCCTCTAAGCACATGACCGCCTGCCAAAGACAAACTCCGGCCTTCTGTCTTCCTGGCAAAGTAATTGGCATCAGTCTAAATTTTTAAAATATATTCACTATTCCAAAGTCCAAATTAATATCCCATCAAAACCCTGGTTTTTTTTTGATATCATCACTTTAGTAAAGCTACCACCTCTACTGTTTGCTGCATACACTTTGGTCATGCTTGTACTCCTGTATAATTGGCCAAACTCAGGATTAGGGATAGCTCAATCTGTGAATGTGGCTTAGATGAAGGATCTGTCAATCATCTGTTCTCTGAGTGTCCTAAACTTTCTTTCTCTCTCTATGATATCCTGCCCAATAACATCCCTCGTCCAGTAAATTTCCAATTTTTGCTGACCCTAGTGTATACTCCCTTCGTAAATATTTTATGTGCTCTTATTCATACTAATAATATTAAACTGTAAAATTACTTAACAACTTTGGTGATGATATTTTAAATATCGTCGCTTTGGTGGTGAAGAGAGACAAGCCACAACTTTATACAAAATGAAATAAGTATACTATTCGAATCAAAACAATGTGATTTTTACAGTGGTGAATAGAGCGAACTGCCTGTAGTTAAGGTAAAAAAAAAAAATCAAAAATGTGAAAAGATGTTAACAGAAATACCATACATTTCTTTATGGTATAAAAAGGAATACAATCCGCATAGCTTAGATAACTTCTGGAAATAGGACAGTGGTTGTAATCAGTAGTGAAGAAAGTCAAGCCGCTTATATCACTAGTTTTTAAATGAAGTCAACGTATCCCTGCATTTAAAAGCGCTATTTTGTATGGCTTAACATCTGTCGTGATCTTATTGAGATTCATATTTATTTATTTGGTTATTTTGCATAATGTGTGTGTTTTACTGTTGTTATAAAAAATATGTAGTACAACACGTTAACCATTTCTGGTGTACAAAATGATGGAAATTTAAAAACATTCATATTCATATTATTTATTGCATCCATAATTTTGCAGTTAATGTGTTGAAAACTATTAACTATATTTTAGTTATGGGCCCTACAGGGCACGGCAGAGGAGGGCCGTTTTAATGAAACAATAATGATGAATACACTATATAATATAGCAACTGTAGGTATTCTAGGTTGGCATTTAAAATTTGCTGTTGTGTGTTTGTGTGTTTACAATGTGTTTACAAATTAAAAACTCCAAGATATAAATGCATGGTACGGTAAGTATTTTATGTTTGACGAAGTATGGTTTGCAGCTATCAGTATTTTGTATGTTAAATATTATTCGTATTAGTTTTTTTTGTAGGGTTAAAAGATCAGAAACGTCTGTGCTATTTCCCCATATGATAACCCCGTAGCAGAGCCACGAAATAAAAAAAAAACTGAGACTTGAAAGTAAAGAACATGTTTCTCAGTCAGGTAAAAAGGTGAGAGAAAAAGCTGTTAAGGAATTTCCCTGTAGGTGTCATTACAAATGCAATGATACATTTACTTTGAATGATAGACAGAACATTTTTTAGGGTTTTTGACTTTAAATCCCATTTGGCTCTATCATCTTGATAGAGTTAAATGGGCTTTTATAAACCACTCAGTCAGTAAAGAGCTACCAAAAAGAAGTTACAAGTCGAAAGGCTCTAGTTCTCTAGTTCAGTGGCAGCTGATGTTCCTGATAAGAGAAATTATACTCATGTTTATACTTTAACATTTTTGATTGAACCCTGCATCAAATAAAATTTCTGAAGAACAAAAGAATATTATTCGTGATCACATCAAGTCCTAACCTGTAGTAGACTCTCACTACTGCCGAAGTTCATCTAAGTGGAAATATCTGCCATCTGGCCTGACTGAAAATCGCTTGTATCAAGACTATATCAAATATTGTGAAAAGAACGGACCATTACCTGTATCATTTTATTATTATAAACATATTTTTACTACTGAGTTCAATAATGGCTTCCATAGGCAAAAAAAGACCATTGTGATTATTAAGATAAATTTAAAAAAAAAACACCAGAAGAGTAACTCCAAGAACGAAGTAATTACGACTTACATTTAATAAGAAAAACAGAAGCTAGAGAACAGAAAAGAGAAGACAAGGCGAAAGGTAAGACTGCTCTAACGTTTTGTGCTTACACTATGGATTTAAAAAAAATCTTCCTTACCCTACAGTTAGAGATTAGTCAATTGTATTATAAAAGAAATTAAAAACATAATTTTACCAGTTATGACCTTGCTTAAGGCACCGCAATTAACTACTTGTAGCATGAAACCAGTGGTACAAAAGGAGCATCTGAGAGCCACTGAGCATCTGAGCCACATGTATTTGGAAACTCCTTTCTGAACTACCACCAGAGGTGACAGAAGTAATATTTTACTCTGATACTGCTTTAGGACGAAACAAAAACCATATCATTTCTGCTACGTACATTAGAGCACTCTCTTCATTTCCAAATCTGAAGATTATCAACCAAAAGTACATGGAGTCTGGATATTCCGAAATGAAATGTGAGTGTTCACTCTGCCATTGAATAATGGGGTACAAAGTTTGATATTTTTGTCTTAGATGGATGCTAGACTTTAGCAAGAACAGCGAAAACCACTCGACCATCATATATCGTAAAGGAGATGAATTTTAGCCAATTTCTTTATTTTAAGTCGTAAAGCCAGTAGTAGTTGACATTAGCCTAATGGCAGGGCGCGGACCGCGAACTCAAAAAGGTCGTGGGTTCGAATCCGCCATTCGACTACTGGCGTGATCCACTCGTAACACAAGCAATTTAAGCTTAATACGAGTGGTTAAGGGGAATATTAGTAATGTATTAAATGCATTGTTAATATTCTTTAAAAAAAATTACAAATAAAAATAAAGGAGAGAGTGGCATCATGAAATGGCTTCTTGTTAAATGGCTGCAATATAGACGTGAAGTTAAGCCAAATTGAATTGGAACGACTATGTATTCGCCTCAGATCAACTCGAAATGATGAAGAAATACTTGCCACTGAAGTAGCTAATCTTTATAAGTGTAGCTTAAAAATAGATACAAAAAAACTTAAAGACTTACAAGATCTTTGTAAAAAAGGTACAATTCCTACCTCTTATCATGAATTTTACATGAATCTTATTGCTTCAAGTCATGATGTTGATATTATAGAAGATTATTTATTTTTTTAATGAAGATTTTTAACAAATAATTACTAATTTTATTATTTCTACTATAACAATATTTAAAATAACCATATTATTCTTTTTTTTTGTCTACCAACTACCAACCAACCCTGCTGCTAACAATTATTTGAATAAATTAGTAGATCTATAGCACTTACATCTTTTCATCTCCCTATTTATTAGTAGATCATTTTCAAAATATCTAAATGGTGAAAAGAGCCAAGTACAAAATAGCGATTAAAAAAAAAACTAGTTAAATTACAAAAACTATAAATATACCAAAAACACAAGAAGCATGTTTAGCTAAACCAATGCCATTTTTATTAAAATCTAACTTACGGTTTAGAAGGTATAGACTAATAAATATTTTTTGTTTAACCTCGCCACTTAATTGCTCATTATTTCGGAACTTGATATGTGTGGGTTGACTCTCTTCACTACCAAAGCGACGATATGTGAAGTCTTTTGTTGTAGATTGTGAACGCACTCATAAAATAGAGAACTCTTATTTTAACCATTATTAACTTGTCGCTTTCATGACTGACTTGACACTGGCAGAATTCTATCAAGAGAAGCCATAATTTAAAAGAAGAAGAAAAACTTCACCATTTAAGATGTGTCAGTAAAAGAAAAAGTAATGGATTTCAAATATCATCAACCCTGAAAATGAGTTTTCTATCATATCATATTCCGATCGTTATTAAGTGATTTTGTATAACAAAACATAAATTTAATTCTATATATAGTATAAGGCTGACAGACGAGCACACAGTCCACCTGATGGTAAGTGGATGCCATGGTCCATAGACATCTACATTTATCCTCGATTAAGAATCAAAATACAGATGCGTTGTCACCCCTGAGGACTAAGATGGAATGCCTTGTTTTCAGTAATAAAGGATTTCTGGATCTCTACACTCACCATACGAAACACAGTATTCTGTAAGAGCATGGTCGTTCCCCAGTTGAGCTGACCCATTTGTGCTACAACCATAATATAGCCGCAGCATGGTCCTACCACATATACATATGTGCTTTTCATATTTTCATGCAATTTTAGTTGATGACAGTACAAAAACTACCAATTAGGGTCAAAAATATGTGCTTTGGATACAGAAGTTTTCTGAAGTAAAAACTTCTCTAGAATCATTGTCATTTGAAACATCAATGAAACGAAAAAGCGACACTAAAAAGAGACAAACATATACATCTATAGGATTTAGCCTATGAGAAAATAGGATAGAATACAGTATACAGTGTTTCTAATTATGTATGGAGATGATGCATGTGATCTATGAGCAGCATAGAATGCATCCATGCCATGGTCCACGATGCTTTATGATGGGCAGTAAAGATTAAGGGGCCAAGTTTGTTAATTAGAAAATATTTAAGTAGGTATTTAATATTTAAGCTAATGAAATTGACAACTTGGAGTCTGTACCTATTCTTTTCTGTATCATATGTAATGTAGGTAAAATAAAATAAAAAATAATTTTGATACAATACAACTTGGTAACAATATTAATATTAAAAAAATCTTACAATTATTCTAATCCCGATATTACGCATTTGTCTCATTCCCTCGAAGTTTAGTTTTCTGAAGGTTTCACTTCAAATGCATGTGAATGAACACACATGTTTCTTTTTCAATAACAATCACATAAAACTTGATATATGTAAGTTAGACAAGACATTGCATCTATAATGACTCATTTTCGTCCCATGTTAATCTTATAGATATGTTTATGTGGGACTTATAACAAAAAAGAACTTCCCAACTGTGTATTTGCTTCACAGGTCGTAAAAGCTGACTAATGTGTTACTGGCACTGTACCCAGGTTTGTTAGATTGTTAGATCAGAAGACCAAAATATCTGGACAAATTTTGAAAAAGACGGAAAATTTTGCAATAAATATTAAAAATAAAAAGTTTATTTTTTAATTCAGAGACTACAAAAAGTACTTTAAACAAATTTAAGTACACTTAATTTTGAGGTTGCCACATATATTTGGCATTGGGCTTTAGAGTCCACCAATTTGGATCCTTTAGTAGTATTCATAATATTTAAAATTCAAACAATTTACTTCAAAGTTCAGTGAAATTACTAACAACACAATTTATTACATAACTATACTTAACTCACAATTTATTAAATCAAAGGCCATATGTTTACCTTTCAAGGAGCTGTTTAAGGAGATTTTAGTTTCATCGAGATCTCTGGAGATCATTTAAAATGTCGGGAGAATCCAGATGAATACCGACCTTCTGGCATCACAAGTTGCACCACCTACCCACTTATTTCGCAATCATAGCCAAAAATATGGATTTAGATTTCCATCTAAATCCATATTTTTGGCTATAATTGTGTTATAAAAGTGGTCCACATAGAGTTAACTGGTGGTAGGACGCTTTTTCAGCTAAGGAGTCCGTCTGAATATGTACTCGCCTCTTACCTATTTCTGCTGTCAAATAGCAGTACTTAAATTGTCATGTTCTAGTCTGAAGGATATAGATAGCTGGTATAATAACAGGCTATGAGGCATTCCATCTTAGTCCTCAGATGTGACAACGTATCTGTAGTCTTTTTTGTTTGATGTTGGCTGCAGGTGCAGATGGACTGCATTAGTCACTTTTCATCAGGTAGACTGAAAGTTCCTTCGTCAATTCAATTTTATAAAAAAAAATGGGGAGTAATGTCGAAACTAGAAATCATTGTGGTGATAGAGAAGTTGTAGTGACAGGCATATGGATCTTGCTTACGCAATGGCAAAGGTGTGTGTTTAGTATGCTTAGCAGGAGGTTGTCAACTGAATTTTTTAGTTGTTACGAGTTATTATTAGGAAGATGCTGCTGCCCTTTTCCCGCTTTGTTTCCCTCTGTTGCTTTTTACAATCTCTTGGGATGATATAGGATAGTGCACATACTTACACTGCCACTACATGGTTAAAAAATATGATTATATAGTTAAAATAAATGTCCACTTAAAATTAGACTACAAATAAACTATTTTGATCCCACAACAGAATATTATTAATTTTATAATAACAAAAATATATAAGGATATATAAAGTATGCAAATCATTTATCTCAACCAAATGGTCATACTGATAAGATTTCACATAAAGATAGATCAGATGCCATTTTTTTAAAACATTAAGATACAAATAATGATTAGAATATGGATAAAATAAATAGTCCTATTTGTCAGTCCATCTAAAAATAATGGCAAATGAAATAAATTAAGACTTGATTTTTAACAGACTTAAAAAAAAGAGATGGTACTCAATTCAACCATATTTTTTTATGTGTGTTACCCCAAAACGCTTTTATAGGTGAACTGATTTTGAGCGACCGAAAGCTAGTGCTTTTGATAAAGATCTGATCAGTAGTTTTTGGGTTATCTTTGATAATGCATATTAGAATGACTTTTTATGATTACATTGATGATGTTCTCATTTTATTGATATTGAAGTCCATTGTACAAAATTTTTAACCACTTGTCTATTATATTATTCCATATCATTCCAGTCTATCAAAGTCCATCGCTGTATATAGGCTTCCCCTTAGAATTCCTCATAATGGGAATATTTACCATAGTACCCGAGTGGCAGGCGGGTTTGACTGCAGTTTTTTATTTTCTTGAAGATACTGCTGCCCTGGTTTGTTTCTCTCTGTCGCCTCTTACTACAGCCATGGGGGATGAACTAAATAATATACAAAAATAATATCCATAAAATTAGTTTTATTCATTATGCAGTATTCATGTAGACAAAACACTTAACTGCCCAATGCATAACTCTACATACTACTCAGATTCCTTTACAGTATCATCAATTAGACGTTAGAATAACCGTCCACAAGATTTAACCCCTCAATCCCTTTAAAATTCCCATGCAGTCGCATGCATGTGTCAAATCCAGAGCAGTCGCATGCGAACGCTCCCACCCACTGCACTTTAAACCATTAAAACTTATATTTATAGACTACTTTTCTATAAAGAAGTTTGGCTTATAGAATCTATACGAAATTCTCTATCCTGTGGTCTAAACAAAAGTCTACTCTATGTATTTTATTTTTGTTCTCCTGTCAATTTACGACATTTTCCGACCATACGAAAATGGCGCAATTTTACGGTTTTAATGGTTTAAAGTGCTGTGGGTGGATGCGGTCTCATGCGACCACTCGGGATTTGAAAAGGAGGTGTTGAATACTTTATTTCCTATGGGGATTAAAGTCCAGAAAAATTTGGGTGTGAAGAGTGGTTTATAGTAAATACCGAACAGCAAAATGTAACTTTAAACCATTCATTTCTTTCTAGATTCTATCCAGAAAAAAAATCAATTTAGGTATAAGTTTAACACTCAAGAGCTCTCATCAGATAAATTATGTTAATAGATGAAGAGTTGAACAAGTACATATATCACATACATGTATAACATAGGTACATACAAATATTATTAGAAGTATTTACACAGTAACAAAACTTCATATTGCCTAGCAGCATCTATTTATCACCCATAACCACAGCATACATGTCTGTGTTCCTTACATGGTAGAGACATACTACAACTATATTACAGTTGTAGCACAAATGGGTCAGGTCGACTCGAACGGGGTGGAAACACACTCTCACATAATACTGCATAAAATAGCAGCTTAATGCTGCTGTGTATCATATGGTTAGTGCAGAGCACTGGAAACCATTTTATTGGAAATGAGGCATTCCATCTCAGTCCTCAGGACTGACAACACATCTGCATTATGATTCTTAATTCCTGGATAAATGTTAACGTCTATGGGCCACAGCATCCACTTACCATCAGGTTGACTGTGCGCTTATTCATCACCTTTATTTTATTAAAAAAATGTGTAAATATCATGGCCAGCAAAGTAATTAATCTTAAAACAAAAATAAACCTACACTTAATAGCAAAAAGGCACTTTGTTTATTTTGATATTGATAAAACTTGAAACTATATGAGTATGTTACCTTTAAGTATTCTGGCCTTCACATACTACTATTGCTTAATATTTTTAGTAAACATTGTCGTTTTTGGCACTGGCCAAACAAAACTAGTTCATCACACAACTCAAAGAAATGTAAATAAACTTGATAAAAGTTGCACCATCCAATGAGTGTAAATCAAAACACTAGAAGTGTATAAATATTGAATATTGCGTCTCAAATTGAATAATTAACTAACCTTGGAATCAGCTGATGCTATGTTTAATGTCCTAAATTTAACAAGGTTAATGTTTTATAGAAATTATCTTGTTTATTTTATTAGTACTTACCTCTTCACGACGTTTGAGCCAGCGCCCGCAGGGACTCTCTTCGAGAATTTCGCTCTCATCCTCGGAATCCTCCCCACTTTCCCTCGGCGACTTGCGCTCCTTGTCGATACTTCTTCCTCCCGACATAACACCGATTTATCGACAACACAGTGCAAAACTACCACCGCACAATTTGTAAAATATCTCACAAACGTTTTCTAGTAGAAAACACTCGGATATATTTTCAAAATACACTTTTTCTCGTAACCACTACCAAGGTTGCAAGGCGAGACGTCACTAATGTTTCATCCCAAACCATTATTCGATACACGACACTCGTTTATTACTCCTATTAACTAATTATATAGTACAGATATTTCTCTACTCGAAGCGATAACACACAGCTCGTCTAGTGAGCTTACCCATGATAATTGAAATAAATTGTTCGCCGGCGTAACTCTCGACGTATTTCTGTCCGACACAAATATAAAACCATAAAGCAAAAAACAACTTTTTTGCTGTCTTTCTATTATCCATAGACAAGATTACTCGGTGTTTATATTTCTTAAAATATTTTTTCCGTATAAATTAATAAAATTAATTTCTAGTGAATAATTTATTTTTGTATATATTAAAATATAATTTTAATTTTATTATAATAATTTATTTATGTTCACTTTTCGAAAATAGATTTACATCGCCATCTGTGGTCGTAAATATTCATGAGTTGATGCTGCCAATGTATATTACAATCGCGGAGATTACAATGGTAGATAAGGTATATTTCATATTTGGTAGATTAAGTTATATTTCATATTATTGTGTATAATATAATATTGATTGATATATTAATAGATTTAAATACATAAAGTATAATCAAATACAAAGTTATACATTCTCATTAAAACTAATTTAAAATATTAAAATTTTAAGCTATCATAAATTAATATAAGTGACATCTTTTGGAACATATTGAAACTTTGAACTATTCGGACAACAAGTCGCTATACCCTTTATAACGAATTCTGACAGAGCTTTGGTAGTTCAAAGTTTAGACATTAGAGGACGCTAAAACCAAAATGCAAATTTACTAAAACTGTCAGAAGTATTTCTTTTCGGTTCGTTTGTTGAGCTTATGGGGTGTAGAGGTAAGGAGAACAATCTCTCAAAAGAGAATAGTTGAAAAAGTGTCCATCTGTAAGCAATAAATAACAGTTAAAAAACTCTCCACAACAGCGCTGAAGTGCTACAGGAAACAGCAGCAGTTGTCGACGGTGTGAAGTGTGCTGCTAAACTGCTCAGTAGCTCTAAAATCTAAAATAATTTTATTTATGATTAAAACTACTTTTACGGATTTTATCGCGTTTATTTTTGCTTTTAATTACTTTTATTTTTAATTCCCGACGTTTCGGGCGCTTTCCAGCACCCATGGTCACGGGGGACTGAGATGACTGACGTCCCGATGTCATTGTTAAACCCGGAGTACCTTCAGCTTTTTTAATTATTGTTTATGGTCCGATCTATGCAAAATGAACTGACTATGTCTTGAGGTCTTGCAGTGGTATGCTTGGGTTTAGTTTTAATTTTATTGATTATAGACAAGCAGGTGGTAGTACCCAGCCTCCTTCTCTATTGAAATTAGGATGTTTTTTAATTTCAATAGCCTCACGTATCATCCTTGGTAGGAATCGGTGTTCTTTCGCGAGGATTTGTGGTCTATCAAATCTGATGTAATGATTGGGGCCGTCCAGGATATGATCACAAACTGCAGACTTCCCAGAAGAAAGGGAAGTCTGCAGTTTGGAAATAGGAATTAATTATTGGAGTTGAGAGTACTATGGCTTATAAAGAGGGTTTCGAATCCTCAAATAGATTTTTACAAGATATAATTGTCAAATGTTAGGAGTTATTGTATTTTTAGCAGGAGATTTCCGGCAGACTTTACCAGTAGTGTACAAATGAATGCACGCGGAAGAAGAAACTTGCGTAAAGCGATCTCATTTGTGGCCTTTAGTGACAAAACTGAGCCTTACTAATTTGAGAGTCCATCTTAGGGGAGATGTTACTGCCAGACAGTTCTCAGACCGGTTCCTTAAAATAGGAAATGGTGATTTCCCGGAACTGGATAATAATATTATAATTTTGTCTACAGAGTTAGAAACCATTGTTTCTACTATATAAGAGCTTATGGGTAAAATTTACCCAAACATTAATAATGAGCGTGCCATTCTAATACCACAAAACGAACAAGACTCAGTCATAAATGAAATACTTTTGAGATCATTCGAAAGGGGCGAATATCAATATAAATCCGTTGACTCAGTATTAAACACCGAATCCTATTGGAATCATTCTTCACATTCTTCTACGCGGACGAAGTCGCCGACAAAAGTTAGTATTATGATAAAAAAGTAATAAATAAAGTAAATAACCGATGTATCAACGGGATAACAACTTGGTTTATTTATTTACTACAGACGGACTCAGTTTAATTATAATAAAAATTATATTTTTGTTACTTATAATTTGTCATGAAAATTATCTTTTTATGGAAGAAATCCATTTTTGTCCGTTGTCAAAATGTTTTGAGCCGAGTTTAAAAAGGAAAAGGTTAAATACAGACCTATTGGGTGTATTTTTGTAATCTATCTTCGCCAATTGAGATACGATTTTTTTGATTTTTGTCCACTTTGCGTACCAAGTAATGAAGATTATGGTAGTTTATAATACCATATCGGTTTAAGCAGAAGTTTCAAAATAGGCCAGGTCTATGTACAATACCTCAAAAAAAGAAACATCTGTAGAATTCGGGAAAATACAGATAATTCATTGAAATGTTTCCTGTCGTGGTAAACAATTGATGTTTATCAATTATTTTTATTGACTTTCAACATGGCGTCTCCCCGATTTTGTTACTCTATACTTACAGACAATGACAGTAAACCATAAAACGACCATTAATCAAAGAAAAAGAACTCTCAGTTGTCACAACAGTGTCAAAAATATGTGAAATAAACTTGTCAGACATCACTAATTAATAAAAATGTTAGCTTACTGCCATGACGGGTTTTTATTGTGTGTTGCAATTTCATGTGCTTTACAAGCAAACAATGCCATTGTAAAATAATTGGACAGTTTAGAACCGTTTAAAATGTGTTTCCCTATTTTTGAGTATAGTGTACTAGGACCTGGCCCAGGCTCCATTTACATTTTGGAACATCTCATTTGGACTCATGCGTCCATAGAATGTTTCTTAAAATATTTTATTCGTATGCATTGGCGTTCAACATGAAACTACGAAACTGAAGTCTACTCGCTTTGATCGCCTCGTATAGCGTTTGTACCGGTTGGTAATGGTACGGATGTCAGTCTGACACCAGCACCATCGATCATACCTTCCACTAGGACATACCGAGCCAGCGTGCTACAATGTTCGTTGAGACGTTAGGGTTGTCAATAAAATGTTGCATAATTGTTTCATCATCTCAGCCGTAAAACGTCGTGGTCTGCCAGTATCTTTCACTTAATCGTCGATAGGTAGCTCCGAAGACAGAAACGTGTGGTAGTTGGCGATCAGTAAGGCGACATTTACATTCTCTACGAGCTCCAGCAACGTTGCCGTCAGCAACACCATAGCGAATGAAAATAATAAATTTAATTAATTTACGCGATGAGGGTTTATTAGGAGGAAGTTTAAACACGTGCTTGCGCAGCGATAGTTAAAACCAACTAACCATAGATTACTGTATATATACTAGCAACTAACGAGAGTCACTACGTCTATTAGCTATGGTCGCTACGACTCCATTTAGGCCGGCCACATACATACGGAATCCCATTTTGTCCGTATTATTTGGAACAGAAGAGTAACGTAGGTGTGTGACGGGTCATTGATTTTATATAGACTTGCTGCGTTCGGAATCCCGAATCAGAATTCCGGAATGGAATATCGAAACGGAATTCTGTGTGTATGTGGCTGGCCGTCTGCTTTCTGAACCGTTGTCAACAACCAATCCGACATGGAGGTTAGAGAACAGGAGAACGATCGCTACGTGCTACAGCATAGCCCACCTGTCCCTGAAAATTTGTGGCCGCGCTGCTGTTGGTAAGTAGTGCCTGTGGAAGTAATTTTTTAATTATTGACAAAAAAAACATTAAAAAATTGTGAAATATTATAAAAAATAATAATAATAGCATCCAATAAATCAATAATAACTAATAATTTATATTTGTAATAATTTATAATATTTATAACAATTCAAATTATTGATGCAACTTAGCGATCGCAGCGCCTCACTTATTTTGTCCATATTTCTGGTACCCTATTTTATACAGCGATCGTTCTCCTATTCTCTAACCTCCGTGCAATCAGATAGGAGTTTTGGCGGGAACTTGGCCGTCGACGGACTGCCGCTTGAATAATGGTTTGAAGTGGATTTTAATTCGTAAAAGTGAATAAAACTAAATTTACGGATTTTATCGCGTTTATTTCACTACTTTTACTTATTTTTAATTCCCGACGTTTCGGGTGCTTTACAGCAACCGTGGTCACGGGGGGGGGGGACTGAGATATTTGACGTCCCAATGTCATTGTTAGCCCGGATACCTTCAGTTGTTGAATATTAATTTTTGGTCCGATTTACGCAAAACGAACCTACAGTATCTTGAAGTCTTGCAGTGGTATGCTTGGGTTTGGGTTTAATTTTGTTAATTATAGGATCCCAAGCAGATGGCAGCACCCAACCATCTTCTCTATTGAAATTAGAATGTTTTTTAATTTCAATAGCCTCGCGAACATGTTCAAGATCGTCCCCACCATTACATCAGATTTGATAAAACACAAGTCCTCGCAAAAGAACATCGATTCCTACCAAGGATGACACGCGAGGCTATTGAAATTAAAAAACATCCTAATTTCAATAGAGAAGATGGTTGGGTGCTGCCATCTGCTTGGTATCCTATAATTAACAAAATTAAACCCAAACCCAAGCATACCACTGCAAGACTTCAAGATACTGTAAGTTCGTTTTGCGTAAATCGGACCAAAAATTAATATTCAAAAACTGAAGGTAGCCGGGCTAACAATTACATTGGGACGTCAAACATCTCAGTCCCCCCCCCGTGACCATGGTTGCTGTAAAGCACCC